ATGATTTAATACTAGGTAAGGACTGGTTAGACAAGTTCAATCCAGCCATAGATTGGCCCTCAAATACTCTTTGTTTCAACTCCAAGAACAATTCACACCAATGGATCTGCAAGATGCCTTTGCGCGAGATTCAACTACTATCAGCAACAGCCTTTAAAGACCTACTTCAAAGACCACAAGACATTCAAATGCTAGGAATGCTCATAATAAAACCATCGCAAAGGAACAATAAGGCCATCATGACCCCACCTAAAGAAATCAATAACATTGCCTCAAAAGAAGGTTCTGACATTTTCAAGACCACAGAAGAATAAAATCAGGCAGATGCCAAAGCAAAACTAATAAAAACACTCCTGAACAAACTTCAAATAATAATCAAGAAATACAAGTGAGTTTTCCAGCCTTTCGAAGGACTGCCACCGTCTCAAAGCATAGACCACAAAATTAAACTAATTGACAAAAGCTCCACTTCAACTTCAAGACCAATCTACTCAATGAACAAAGAACTAAATGCATTAAAGAAAGAATTAACCTTTTCTCCTACAGAATAAGCGCATTCAAGAATCAATATCACCTACGGCGCTCCTATATTCTATGTAAAACAGAAGGACAAGCTTCGACTTGTCTTCAACTATTGCGCCCTTAACAAAAATACCGTCAAGAACAGGACTGCACTGCCAAATATATTAGAAATTTTGGACAGACTATCATGTGCAAAATACTTTGCCAAACTAGATTTAGCCTTGGGATATCATCAAATAAGCATCCACAAGAAAGAAATACACAAGACAGTCTTCCGATCAAAATACGGTCATTTCAAATGGGCAGTAATCCCATTCGGGCTTTCAAACGCACCAGCAACTTTTCAAACCATGGTCAACAACATATTCCATGAATATGTTGATGATTTTCTCAATGCATACATTGATGACATACTTGTTTATTCAGAAACATACAATCAACACTTACGCCACATTGAATCAGTATTAAAGAAGCTTCAAGAAAACAAGCTTCACTGCCATTTAACCAAGTGCAACTTCTTAAAACAACAAGTTGACTACCTTGGATATCACATTAGAAACAATCAAGTTCAAGTCTCAAACAAACGCATATCTTCAATCCAAGAATTCAAACCACCAACAAATTATTCATCACTCCCATCGCTTTGTGGAACACCATGCTGAACTGGTTGCTCCACTTTCTGATTTATTAAAGGACCATAAAACAAAGCCTAAATCAGAAATATTCCCTTTATCACCATCACTAATGAAAATCTTCAACCAAGCAAAACAAGCCCTAATCTTGCCGAAAATTTTAGGAATTTTTGATACAAACAAAACAGTATACTTAGCAACAGACTGGTCCAAAAGAGCATTAGGATCATGTGTCTATCGACTAGACAAAAAGCAAAGTTCTCTTCCAATAGCTTATGCTTTAAGAAAGTGTAACCAAGCCAAATCAAACTATCATCCATACATGGGTGAAATTTTATCACTAGCAGAAGATTTCCGCACTCACCGCCAATATATTCAAGGAAACAACGTCTACGTCTACACTGACCACAGCTCTCTTCAACACATTTTAACACAGCCCAAACTTTGGCCTGTACATCTTAGATGGCTTGCCAATCTTCAACAATATGACTTCAAAATTCAATGGAAACCAGGAAAATGGAACACAATTGCAGACGCATTATCTAGACGATCATTTTCACAAGACATTGCTACATCAACAGATGATTTAAATATCACTACATCAACAGCAACACAAATTAATACAATTTTACATGTCAACAAAAACTTTCACAATGAAATAAGAGAAGAAAGCAAGATGGATAAAACATTCAACAACATATCAAAACATTTAGTAGATCCCAACAACAAATCTACCTACGAAAATACACCAGACAAGGCCCCAAAGCATTTAAAAACTAATAGGACATTACTGACTACGCGACGGAATTCTATACTATTTAGACAAAACACATGCTCGAATCTACATTCCAGAATCTCTTTGCTTGTACATAACTGACCTTGCTCATGGAGGCAGGCATGGCATACATAACAATTGGGAACGCACATCCAAAAAAATCACAAGACTTTATCACTGGCTATCACTTCACCACGATATCAAGAAATTTGTACAATTTTGCAATTCATTCCAACGCTTCAAAAAATAGCTCAAAGATTACCTTACGGACTATTACAATCACAAAATCCCTCTAGGATGTTGGGAAACCATTTCAATGGACTTCATCGGCCCAATTGTCACATCAACAAATGGTTACAACACAATAATGGTAATAGTTGACAAAACAAACTTGAATACTTCCCTGCAAGCAAACAGATAATGCAAAACACATAGCCAATCTCTACAAACTCACAATATGGAAAACATCATGGACTTCAAAGGAAAATCATCTCTGATTGTAACACATGATTTATGTCCCAATTCTGGACAACTCTTCTCAAGTCCTTACGTACAAAACAAATAGTATCAACTTCATTCCATCCACAAAGAGACAGACACACAGAAATCAAAAACAATTTGGATCATCATGGCACTACAACACTTTGTATCACATTACCAAGAAGACTGGAATTGTTACCTTCATATAATCAAATTTGGAATTAACAACACCAAGAACTCTTCCAGAGGATACACTCCTTTTATGTTAGACATAGGACAAAATCCGACATCCATAATGGACATTAACCTTACAGTATACGACAATCTAAGCCTACGCAACCAACAAGCAGCCTGCCAAGTAGCAAACAATAACTTATGCGCTGCTCAAGACAAGCAAGCAGCCACCGCAAACAGACATTGACTCGAATCACCCTTCAAAGTCAACAATCTTGTATTACTCTCTCTCAAGGATTTCAGACCACCACACATCAAGGCCAGACCTACCACTAAACTCTCCGACGTATATTCAGGACCCTACCACTAAACTCTCCGACGTATATTCAGGACCATACAAAGTTTTGGAATTAATTGGACCTGCAAACTCCTGCCAACTCAATATACCAAACAATTGGGGAATACACCCAGTATTCCATCCTGAAAAACTAAAGAAATACTACCCAAGAACATCCATTAAATTCCTTACCAATCAGTCAACGCGTCATAGAACAAATACTTGCCAAACAAAAAAAATTCTATACAACAATAAGCCTCGCCAACAAGTTCTCATCAAATGGAAGGACCACAATCCAATATTCAACATTTAGTTAGATGCCACTCCAGAGCTCATCAACAAACTACAACACCAAGAAAACAACATAAATCAAGAAAATAGTTTATTATTGCGTATGCTCTTGGACGCAGATGTCACGGAAACTAACTAGTTTTCCGTAACTTCAATTTGAAATTATTACTATTATATTCTTATTTTATTATCTTATTATATTTTATTTTCCTTTATTATTCTTCTATTTGTCAGCCACAAGTTCTTTTCCATTTCACAATTTTCTTTATGAAATTTTTACTTGTGTTGCCCAAAAATTCTATTTCACTTTGTTTCAGAAAGGATCCTGAAACTCTATAAATTCAGAGTTATTGAAATTAAAATAAACAGAGAATTCTTTATTGAAAACTTTAACTTTACTTTGCTTTAGAACAAAAAGGAAGACTTTGCCGTGTAAGACACAGCTCAAGAAAATACTTCGCTTCGCTGTCAGAGTCCATCAATGTAGATTTTCCGGATCCAGTCCTTTCAACAACACCAATCTTTTCACCCGCATTGATGGTGAGACTAATGCCATTCACAACAGCATGGCCCAAGTTAACTTTGCCTACCTAGAATTTTTTAATTCTCTGACATGGAATATTGGCCCAATGGTCTAGTCGTATGATTCCTGCTTCGGGTGCAGGAGGTCCCGGGTTCAATTCCCGGTTGGGCCCTTTTTGTTCACTCTTGACCTGTTGCATTCATCCAAATATAGAACAATGGGCCACCTCAATTTTTCTGCACGGTGTAAATGAGAAATACTGGCTGATACTTGAAAGCATACCCTTGAATTTGCTTGAAACTGTTTCAAAATTTTATTTATTTGATATAAAATGTGACATAATATTGGCAAAGGTAATACTTATAAAATTAATTGCCTGCCACCTTTGGTTTGAAAGAACATTTCTACCATCTCCAGTTGCTAAACAGAGAAATGAACGTTATGATAAAAGAATCAATTCTGTTGCTCACCAGAAGTTGAAGAAATAACACTCTTTGATGTTCTTTATTTGGAGCTGAGGTGGTTGGAATGTCTGTGTAACAAGTTATTTGCAAATGAAGTAAAATTAGCAGCAGGTGAAACAAAACTAAATTTACCTGCTTTGGTTCTGATTTTGTTGTAGGTATCATCAATTCTTTCATTGACATCTGAGTTATCAGAACACGTGTTGACAGACTGTTATCACAAAGGATATTCGTAAACAACTACATGAATTGCTTGCAACTTAAGTTGCAACTGGCAAATATAACACAAGTTCAAACAGAATTGCAACACGTGTTCTGATAACTCAGATGTCAATGAAAGAATTGATGATACCTACAACAAAATCAGAACCAAAGCAGGTAAATTTAGTTTTGTTTCACCTGCTGCTAATTTTACTTCATTTGCAAATAACTTGTTACACAGACATTCCAACCACCTCAGCTCCAAATAAAGAACATCAAAGAGTGTTATTTCTTCAACTTCTGGTGAGCAACAGAATTGATTCTTTTATCATAACGTTCATTTCTCTGTTTAGCAACTGGAGATGGTAGAAATGTTCTTTCAAACCAAAGGTGGCAGGCAATTAATTTTATAAGTATTACCTTTGCCAATATTATGTCACATTTTATATCAAATAAATAAAATTTTGAAACAGTTTCAAGCAAATTCAAGGGTATGCTTTCAAGTATCAGCCAGTATTTCTCATTTACACCGTGCAGAAAAATTGAGGTGGCCCATTGTTCTATATTTGGATGAATGCAACAGGTCAAGAGTGAACAAAAAGGGCCCAACCGGGAATTGAACCCGGGACCTCCTGCACCCGAAGCAGGAATCATACGACTAGACCATTGGGCCAATATTCCATGTCAGAGAATTAAAAAATTCTAGGTAGGCAAAGTTAACTTGGGCCATGCTGTTGTGAATGGCATTAGTCTCACCATCAATGCGGGTGAAAAGATTGGTGTTGTTGAAAGGACTGGATCCGGAAAATCTACATTGATGGACTCTGACAGCGAAGCGAAGTATTTTCTTGAGCTGTGTCTTACACGGCAAAGTCTTCCTTTTTGTTCTAAAGCAAAGTAAAGTTAAAGTTTTCAATAAAGAATTCTCTGTTTATTTTAATTTCAATAACTCTGAATTTATAGAGTTTCAGGATCCTTTCTGAAACAAAGTGAAATAGAATTTTTGGGCAACACAAGTAAAAATTTCATAAAGAAAATTGTGAAATGGAAAAGAACTTGTGGCTGACAAATAGAAGAATAATAAAGGAAAATAAAATATAATAAGATAATAAAATAAGAATATAATAGTAATAATTTCAAATTGAAGTTACGGAAAACTAGTTAGTTTCCGTGACATCTGCGTCCAAGAGCATACGCAATAATAAACTATTTTCTTGATTTATGTTGTTTTCTTGGTGTTGTAGTTTGTTGATGAGCTCTGGAGTGGCATCTAACTAAATGTTGAATATTGGATTGTGGTCCTTCCATTTGATGAGAACTTGTTGGCGAGGCTTATTGTTGTATAGAATTTTTTTTGTTTGGCAAGTATTTGTTCTATGACGCGTTGACTGATTGGTAAGGAATTTAATGGATGTTCTTGGGTAGTATTTCTTTAGTTTTTCAGGATGGAATACTGGGTGTATTCCCCAATTGTTTGGTATATTGAGTTGGCAGGAGTTTGCAGGTCCAATTAATTCCAAAACTTTGTATGGTCCTGAATATACGTCGGAGAGTTTAGTGGTAGGGTCCTGAATATACGTCGGAGAGTTTAGTGGTAGGTCTGGCCTTGATGTGTGGTGGTCTGAAATCCTTGAGAGAGAGTAATACAAGATTGTTGACTTTGAAGGGTGATTCGAGTCAATGTCTGTTTGCGGTGGCTGCTTGCTTGTCTTGAGCAGCGCATAAGTTATTGTTTGCTACTTGGCAGGCTGCTTGTTGGTTGCGTAGGCTTAGATTGTCGTATACTGTAAGGTTAATGTCCATTATGGATGTCGGATTTTGTCCTATGTCTAACATAAAAGGAGTGTATCCTCTGGAAGAGTTCTTGGTGTTGTTAATTCCAAATTTGATTATATGAAGGTAACAATTCCAGTCTTCTTGGTAATGTGATACAAAGTGTTGTAGTGCCATGATGATCCAAATTGTTTTTGATTTCTGTGTGTCTGTCTCTTTGTGGATGGAATGAAGTTGATACTATTTGTTTTGTACGTAAGGACTTGAGAAGAGTTGTCCAGAATTGGGACATAAATCATGTGTTACAATCAGAGATGATTTTCCTTTGAAGTCCATGATGTTTTCCATATTGTGAGTTTGTAGAGATTGGCTATGTGTTTTGCATTATCTGTTTGCTTGCAGGGAAGTATTCAAGTTTGTTTTGTCAACTATTACCATTATTGTGTTGTAACCATTTGTTGATGTGACAATTGGGCCGATGAAGTCCATTGAAATGGTTTCCCAACATCCTAGAGGGATTTTGTGATTGTAATAGTCCGTAAGGTAATCTTTGAGCTATTTTTTGAAGCGTTGGAATGAATTGCAAAATTGTACAAATTTCTTGATATCGTGGTGAAGTGATAGCCAGTGATAAAGTCTTGTGATTTTTTTGGATGTGCGTTCCCAATTGTTATGTATGCCATGCCTGCCTCCATGAGCAAGGTCAGTTATGTACAAGCAAAGAGATTCTGGAATGTAGATTCGAGCATGTGTTTTGTCTAAATAGTATAGAATTCCGTCGCGTAGTCAGTAATGTCCTATTAGTTTTTAAATGCTTTGGGGCCTTGTCTGGTGTATTTTCGTAGGTAGATTTGTTGTTGGGATCTACTAAATGTTTTGATATGTTGTTGAATGTTTTATCCATCTTGCTTTCTTCTCTTATTTCATTGTGAAAGTTTTTGTTGACATGTAAAATTGTATTAATTTGTGTTGCTGTTGATGTAGTGATATTTAAATCATCTGTTGATGTAGCAATGTCTTGTGAAAATGATCGTCTAGATAATGCGTCTGCAATTGTGTTCCATTTTCCTGGTTTCCATTGAATTTTGAAGTCATATTGTTGAAGATTGGCAAGCCATCTAAGATGTACAGGCCAAAGTTTGGGCTGTGTTAAAATGTGTTGAAGAGAGCTGTGGTCAGTGTAGACGTAGACGTTGTTTCCTTGAATATATTGGCGGTGAGTGCGGAAATCTTCTGCTAGTGATAAAATTTCACCCATGTATGGATGATAGTTTGATTTGGCTTGGTTACACTTTCTTAAAGCATAAGCTATTGGAAGAGAACTTTGCTTTTTGTCTAGTCGATAGACACATGATCCTAATGCTCTTTTGGACCAGTCTGTTGCTAAGTATACTGTTTTGTTTGTATCAAAAATTCCTAAAATTTTCGGCAAGATTAGGGCTTGTTTTGCTTGGTTGAAGATTTTCATTAGTGATGGTGATAAAGGGAATATTTCTGATTTAGGCTTTGTTTTATGGTCCTTTAATAAATCAGAAAGTGGAGCAACCAGTTCAGCATGGTGTTCCACAAAGCGATGGGAGTGATGAATAATTTGTTGGTGGTTTGAATTCTTGGATTGAAGATATGCGTTTGTTTGAGACTTGAACTTGATTGTTTCTAATGTGATATCCAAGGTAGTCAACTTGTTGTTTTAAGAAGTTGCACTTGGTTAAATGGCAGTGAAGCTTGTTTTCTTGAAGCTTCTTTAATACTGATTCAATGTGGCGTAAGTGTTGATTGTATGTTTCTGAATAAACAAGTATGTCATCAATGTATGCATTGAGAAAATCATCAACATATTCATGGAATATGTTGTTGACCATGGTTTGAAAAGTTGCTGGTGCGTTTGAAAGCCCGAATGGGATTACTGCCCATTTGAAATGACCGTATTTTGATCGGAAGACTGTCTTGTGTATTTCTTTCTTGTGGATGCTTATTTGATGATATCCCAAGGCTAAATCTAGTTTGGCAAAGTATTTTGCACATGATAGTCTGTCCAAAATTTCTAATATATTTGGCAGTGCAGTCCTGTTCTTGACGGTATTTTTGTTAAGGGCGCAATAGTTGAAGACAAGTCGAAGCTTGTCCTTCTGTTTTACATAGAATATAGGAGCGCCGTAGGTGATATTGATTCTTGAATGCGCTTATTCTGTAGGAGAAAAGGTTAATTCTTTCTTTAATGCATTTAGTTCTTTGTTCATTGAGTAGATTGGTCTTGAAGTTGAAGTGGAGCTTTTGTCAATTAGTTTAATTTTGTGGTCTATGCTTTGAGACGGTGGCAGTCCTTCGAAAGGCTGGAAAACTCACTTGTATTTCTTGATTATTATTTGAAGTTTGTTCAGGAGTGTTTTTATTAGTTTTGCTTTGGCATCTGCCTGATTTTATTCTTCTGTGGTCTTGAAAATGTCAGAACCTTCTTTTGAGGCAATGTTATTGATTTCTTTAGGTGGGGTCATGATGGCCTTATTGTTCCTTTGCGATGGTTTTATTATGAGCATTCCTAGCATTTGAATGTCTTGTGGTCTTTGAAGTAGGTCTTTAAAGGCTGTTGCTGATAGTAGTTGAATCTCGCGCAAAGGCATCTTGCAGATCCATTGGTGTGAATTGTTCTTGGAGTTGAAACAAAGAGTATTTGAGGGCCAATCTATGGCTGGATTGAACTTGTCTAACCAGTCCTTACCTAGTATTAAATCATATGCAATGTTAGTGGAGACAAAATTATGTTGGTCCCTGAATCTAGTTGAAGTAATAATAGTATATTTGATATTCTTATAAATGTGTCTGTCAATAATTAAATGGTCTGCTAGGCATATTGGTTGCTTTTTGTTTGTGCAATGAATTTCTTGGTGATGGTTGTGTCATGCATTCATGAAGCTGGCATTAGCTCCTGGGTCAATGAGTATTTTGGCTGGTTGGTTTCCTATGAAACTGTTAATTGTGAGGAGAGATGATTGTGAGGTTGGTTGTTCCATGTGGTGCATTCAAAGAGATAATAAGTCCGTTGGTAAGTCTGTTGAGAAAGTTTTAGTATGTGATGCAATTGATTCTTGTTTGTATTTATGTTCTTCAAGCTTGAGTCAATTTGCTATTGTTGCTGTCTTTGGTAGTGCTGCTGCTTTCACTGATAGTGGTGGCAGCTTCGACGTTGTTGATGTGTTTGGTGTGCTGAAAGTTTCCAGTATTGGCTGGTTTGTTATTGTTGTTTGAATAATTTCTACTGCTTTTATTAGGGGGTTTGTTGTAATTATTGTTTGCTTGGGTATTGTTGTGTTTTTTGGCATTGATCGTGCCTATGGTTCTTAAGTCTGCAGAATGTACACCAAGCATTTTTCCAGTATGTCTTTCTTTCTTCTGCTAAGAGACATGGGAAGGATTGTGTATTTAAGAGGTCCATTGGTTGTGGTCTGTTGTTGTGGTAATTGTGAAAATGTGGGGTTGAAAATTTTTGTGAAGGAAAGTTTTGTTTCATGCCGTTTTGTGGTGAAGTAGGCCTCCTTTTTGTTCTTTGCCAATAAAAATTGTCTAGGCATTTGGCTTCCATTTGAAGTTTGTTTAGATTGTCTTTGATGTTGAATAATTCATGCTTGTCACGAAGGTGCCACTTAAGACCCTGAAGGTACTTAATGCAAAGGTATCTGTCTTCAAGATTAATGCTTCTGGAGCAGATTGCAGATAAAAGATTGTTAAATTCCTGTGAATATAATGTTGTGGATCTTGTCTGTTTAAGAGAATACATGCCTTCAACAGCTTGTGTTAGGGTTAATTGGGATCCAAAATTTGAATGAATCCAGGCTTGATAATTCTTCCAACTCATGTTTCTACGCTGATCTTCTGGTAGATGTCTCCAACATGTATGAGCAT